AAATGTCTCTTTCATTGTTTAAGGTGTAATCCACTGCGTTGCTATGTAGCTTATTTATTGTTATGCCGTATTTGTTAATTTTTACTGAGTTTTCTTATCAAGATAAAAAATAAGCAATTAATATCCCAGCATCACCAATACACTGAAAGGAAATGCCATTTAATATGGAGTGGTGAAACAACCTCATCTTTCTTCTTTTTGACTTAATGTTTAATAGTCTCTGGTTCAGTTTAGAATAATCAGAGACAGAATACAAAAGCATGATATGCCTCAAATGAGATCTAATTGTTGTTTTTTTAATGTATTTTAATACTTTCTGAGAAACTAAAAATAGACATTATTCAATACATTAAATAATAAGAATATTACATAAATATGAAATATTTGATATTTATGTTTGTCTCCCTAAAATATTTTTCTTCTTTCTGGAGAAGTTGAAAAACTAAGAGAAGCCTGATGATGACACTGCAGGCTCAGATGGTATAGCAGCCTGACTGCAAATATACACTGCATGCTCCACATGACACTTCCCTGACTTTGAGAGTTGTATCGGAAGCCTAGACTCTGGTGGCATAAAGAATACAAATATTAGTGTGATAAAACTTTGATTATGCAAAGCTGTATTTGCTAAGAAGGTGTTAGAAGAAGGAATAATGGGATACTTAAAGCCCAATCTAGGGCAAACTTTGTTTTTTTTTTTCTATTTTACTTCGCATATACCATTGAGGAAATGGAACTCCTACAGAAATTTGTTCCAGAGGCACTAGAGAGCATCTCCTTCCCTTACATCTTTAGACTTCATTATTTGCTTTCTGTGTTGTATTTAGTAGTTAAAAAACACTTAGGCATATTTGCCTTTTAAAATGAAATTTCAGAGTGAGAGGATGAGCAAAACAGATGAAAAGAATCAAGAAGTACAAACTTCTAGTTATAAAATATATGAGTCATGGGGGTTTAAAGTATAGCATAGGGAATATAGTCTATAACACTGTAATAACTTTGTATGATGACAGATAGTAACTACACTTACATTGTGAGCATTCTGTAATGTATATAAATATTGAGTCAGTAATGTTGTATACCTGAAACTAATGTAATATCATATATCAATTACACTTCAATTAATTTTAAAAAGAGAGAGAGAGAAACCAAGAAACAGACTCTTAACTATTGAGGACAAACTGATGGTTTCCAGAGGGGAGGTGGATGGGGTGATGGGTGAAATAGATGATGAGGATTAAGGATTGGATTTGTTCTGATGAGCACTGGGTAATGTATGCAACTGTTGAATCACTATATTGTACTCCTGAAACTAATATAACACCGTATGTTAACTATACTGAAATTAAAATGAAATAAAATAAAATTTTAATTGTGCTCTTAGTAAAAATGCAATCATCTACCAGACTACCAAAACCTGATACAAATTTCAGCTTATTTTAGTAGTGGGAGAGAAGATGTCTGATATTCTTGGGAAAAACCATACAGAGTATATGAAAACATATACATACATATGTATGCATATATACATATCTTTAGGAGAGAGATACAGAGTCCAATATATACTCAAGACAAGTAACCACCAATGGCAATGCCTGGTCAAGACTTTCTTTCAAGGGAACACTTTGTACTAATAGACTATGAGGATTCTCCTAAAGCAAAAAATGCCAGGATCCTTATATAAGTGTCCCTTTCCCAACCATTAGCTGCACATTCATTCTGGGGGAAGCAAATAAACAGCATCTTCATATCCCCCGCTTGAATCACCTTTATTCTGAAATCCTGCTTGCTAGAGCTTTGTGAAATACATATCTTGACGGATTATGGGAAAACTTAGTTGTTTGTATCGTTAGTAAGTCAAAAGCAAATTGTGTGAGTGTTACCACAAGCCCACAATTTCCACCTTAAGATAAGTGCCAAAACACTTGCTATCAATTGAATTTAAATTTTTGTCATCTTAATATAAACATAATATAAATGTAATCATGAAAAGAAAAAATAATATCAACAGAATAAAGTAGGCATTTATTTTCTAAATGTTAAGAAAAGGAAGCTGTGATTGCCCATTTTTTTTTACCTAATTACAGAAAATAAATGAGAGCTTTAAAAAGTGTTTTATCATTACATTTAATAAATCATCCATTCCAGTTTTTCTGGAAATACAGAGGATAGAAGAACAGGTCAAATGATACCACAAGGAAACAATCAGACAAATTCAGAATGCAGAACATCCTACAAGACAATGAGTCTGGATACTTAAAAAAATTCAGTATCATAAAAGACAGGGGGCTGTTTTATAATAAATCTATGCAACACCAAGACAATCATGAAACTTTGCTAAAAAACAAATGTTCTAAGACATTCTTTTTAACAAGTGGTTAAGAAAGTAAGTGCATTTGTAAAAGTAACTCAAGAATGCATATAAATTCTTAGTAAAGTTGAAATTGAGGAAGGATAATGAAAAAATAATGAGATTTAATAGGGACTGGATATTAGATAATGTTATGGAATTATTATTAATTTTGTTAAATGTTCTAGTAGGATTATGATTATGTAAGATACCTTATACTTAAGGAGATGCCTGCTGAAATATTTATTTTTTTTTTATTTTTTATTTTTTTTAATGTTTTATTTATTTCTAGGAGAGAGAGAGAGACAGCGTGAGCAGGGGAGGGTCAGAGAGAGAGGGAGTCACAGACTGAAACAGGCTCCAGGCTCTGAGCTGGCAGTCAGCACAGAGCCCGACGCAGGGCTCGAACCCACGAACCGCGAGATCATGACCTAAGCGAAAGTCGGACGCTTAACCGACTAAGCCACCCAGGCGCCCCCCTTTTTTTTTTTTTTTTTTAAGTGCTGAAATATTTAAAGATGAAGTATTATGTCTTCAAATTACTTTCAAATGTGTCAGCAAAAAGGGGGCATTTGTGTGTAGAATAAAATATGTATAAAGATAGAAAAATTATGTAGAAAGAATAAATAGGATAAAAATAAGTTTTAAATTTGGATGAGATTAGAATTGTTTGTATCATTCTCTTAACTTTTCTATATATTTGAAACATTTCTCAATACAAATATTTAATTAGTAGACTTAATATTTTAGAGCAGTTTTAGGTTTTACAGAAAATTGAGCAGATAATACAAAGAGTTCCTATATACCCACTTTCTCTCACAATGTTCCCTATTAATATCTTGCATTAGTGTGGTTTGTTTCTTTATTATAATTGATGAATATTGATCCCTTATTATTAACTAGAGTCTGTAATTTAAATTTGGGTTCACTTTTTGTGTTGTTTTATGGGCTTTGACAAATGCATAATGTCATGTAGCCACCATTAGAGTATCATAAAGAAAAGTTTCAATGCCTCCCAGATCTCATGTATTTTACCTCTTAATTCCCCCCCTCTTTCCCTCTGACAACCACTAATCTTAATGTAGCTTTACTTTTGTCTTTTCCAGAATGCCATGTAGTTGCAGTAATAGAGTATGTGCCTTTTCAGACTAGTTTCTTTCACTAAGTAATATGCATTTACGTTTCCTCCATGTCTTTTGGGTGTTGACAACACTTTTTTAGAAAAATTGTTTTAAATACAAAAAGACAGACTTTAAACACCTAACAAATTGCAACATACATATATTGTTTGGCAACCTCATTTAACAAATTATCGCTCAAAACATTTAAAAAGATAGCTGGGAAAAATTCACTACCAACGGAATATTTGATATTATGAAATTATTGGCATTGCTAGATGTGACAAGTAATTTGAGGCTATGTAAAAAATGCTCTTGGGGCACCTGGGTGGCTCAGTCGGTTAAGCCTCTGACTCCCGCTCAGATCATGATCTTTTAGTCTGTGGTTTCAAGCCCTGCTTGGGGCTCTGTGCTGACAGCTCAGAGCCTGCTTCAGATTCTGTGTGTCCCTCTCTCTGCCCTTCCCCTGCTCATGCTTGCTCTCTCTCAAAAATAAATAATCATTTAAAAAGAAAATAAAAAAATTGACACATTCACCTGAAGACATTTTCCAGCTACTTTTGGAGATTTTCATGTGGCCCAAATGTGTCAAATTTCAGGGAAATGTGAAGTAAGAGTGGGCCCCAGAGAAACAGGAGTAAAAAGAATTATTTCACTGTCCCAAGAGAATGTTCTCAGTTGAATAGTGTGCTTGTCCAGAGTTTCTATAGTTTTAGTTTCTTTTGAGTGTGAGGATGGTAACCTAACCAACACGAGATACATACACGCCCAACATCTAAGTAAAAACTGGGAACTGCTTACTCAAATCAAAGCCTTCTTTCCTCCTGGGACTGAAGTTATTTTCTTCTACTTTCTTTTTTAATGTTTTATTTATTTCTGAGAGAGAGAGAGAGGCAGCGTGCACAGGGAAGTCAGAAAGAGAGGGAGACACAGAATCTGAAACAGGCTCCAGGCTCCAAGCTAGCTGTCAACACAGAGCCCGATGCGGGGCTCGAACCTATAAGCTGTGAGATCATGACCGGAGCCAAAGTCTGAGATTTAACCAACTGAGCCACCAGGCGCCCCTCCCTTCCACTTTCTGAAGTCGACTTTTTCCTCACTTAAAAAGAGCCCTTTCGAGCTGTGAGAAAACTGGAACGGAAATTTGTCAATGCTTGCCGTGGTCGTTATGGATGCATTGAAAAAGGAAATGCAGATAAGACTTTGAGACAGTACTTGAAAATCCTTCATTTATATTGCCAACTGTCTGAAAGATTTAGGATTTTCTTCATTTTGGATAAAATTAACACTCGGGAAGGACGCAGGGTGGCGCTGCAGCATTAGAAGTAGACTTGAGAGTTACCAGCCGGCGCTCCTTGAGCCAGATGCTCCGCTAAAACAGCAAACAGGAAGGGGAGGCTTTCAAAGGTTGCTCCGGGAAAGCAAGGCCCTGGACGTCTCCATTTCTCCCACTATCAGCTAGAAACTGGGAGACAGAGTCAGCGACAACTCGAGCCAAAGCTGGGTCAAGTTTGCTGGGAGACTGGAAGGCGATGGAGGCCGGAGAGGGAAAAGAACGCTTTCGAAAACAAAGGCAAGTCTTGATATTCTTTGTTTTGCTAGGCATAGCTCAGGTTGCTTCCAAGCCTAAGCAGTACTCAGTGGCTGAGGAAATGGAGAGTGGCTCCTTTGTGGCTAATTTGTTAAAAGACCTGGGGCTGGAGGTAAATGACCTAGCTATGCGGGGGGCTCAGGTCGTCTCCAAAGGGAGAAAAACGCGTTTGCAGTTTGATAGGCAGACAGGGGATTTGTTGTTAAATGAGAAACTGGACCGGGAGGAGCTGTGCGGCCTTGCCGAGCCCTGTGTGCTACCTTTCCAGGTACTATTGGAGAATCCCTTGCAGTTTTTCCAGGCCGAGCTACAGGTTAGAGATATAAATGATCATTCCCCAGTTTTCCTAGACAAAGAAATAACTTTGAAAATTTCAGAAAGTATCACTCCCGGAACTACCTTCCTAATAGAACGTGCCCAGGACTTAGATGTAGGAAGCAACAGTCTCCAAAGTTACACTGTCACCCCCAATTCCCACTTCCATCTTAAATTACAAGACAGTTCCGACGGCATATTACCACAGCTGGTGCTGGACAAAGCACTGGATCGAGAGGAACAGGCTGAGATCAGGTTAACTCTCACTGCGCTGGACGGCGGGACTCCACCCAGGTCTGGCACTGCCCTGGTCCGCATTGAAGTCTTAGACATCAATGATAACGCGCCTGAGTTTGCAAAGCTGCTCTATGAGGTACAAGTTCTGGAAAACAGTCCCATTGGATTCCAGGTTGCCATAGTCTCTGCTAGAGATTTGGACATTGGAACCTATGGAGAAATATCTTATGTATTTTCCCAAGCCTCTGAAGATATTCGCAAAACTTTTCAAATAAATGCAAAGTCAGGAGAACTCCTTTTAACACAGAAATTGGATTTCGAATCTATTCAGACTTATACATTAAATATTCAGGCGACAGACGGTGGAGGCCTATCTGGAAGTTGCGTGGTGCTTGTCCAAGTGATGGATTTGAATGACAACCCTCCGGAAATGACTATGTCAACACTTATCGATCACGTCCCAGAAAACTTGCAGGAGACCATAATTGCTGTATTCAGTGTTTCTGATCTAGACTCTGGAGACAATGGGAGAATTAAGTGTTCTATCGAGGACAATCTCCCCTTCATCCTTAAACCGTCTGTTGAAAATTTTTACACTCTAATGACAAACACACCTCTAGACCGAGAGAGCAAATCCGAGTACAACATCACCATCACCGTCACGGACTTGGGGACCCCCAGGCTGAAAACGCAGCACAACATCACCGTGACGGTGTCCGACGTCAACGACAACGCCCCCGCCTTCAGCCAAACCACCTACACCCTGCGGGTCCGCGAGAACAACAGCCCCGCCCTGCACCTAGGCAGCGTCAGCGCCACAGACGCAGACTCGGGCGCCAACGCCCACGTCACCTACTCGCTGCTGCCGCCCCAGGACCCGCAGCTGCCCCTGGCCTCCCTGGTGTCCATCAACGCGGACAACGGGCAGCTGTTCGCGCTCAGGTCCCTGGATTACGAGGCGCTGCAGGCGTTCGAGTTCGGCGTGCGCGCGGCCGACCGCGGCTCGCCCGCGCTCAGCAGCCAGGCGCGCGTGCGCGTGCTGGTGCTGGACGACAACGACAACTCGCCCTTCGTGCTGTACCCGCCGCAGAACGGCTCTGCGCCCTGCACCGAGCTGGTGCCCAGGGCGGCCGAGGCGGGCTACCTGGTGACCAAGGTGGTGGCGGTGGACGGCGACTCGGGCCAGAACGCCTGGCTGTCGTACCAGCTGCTCAGGGCCACGGAGCCCGGGCTGTTCGGCGTGTGGGCGCACAACGGCGAGGTGCGCACGGCCAGGCTGCTGAGCGAGCGCGACGCCGTCAAGCACAGGCTGGTGGTGCTGGTCAAGGACAATGGCGAGCCGCCGCGCTCGGCCAGCGTCACGCTGCACGTGCTGCTGGTGGACGGCTTCTCGCAGCCCTACCTGCCGCTCCCGGAGGTGGCGGCGGCCGAGGCGCAGGCCGACCCGCTCACCGTCTACTTGGTCATCGCCTTGGCGTCCGTGTCGTCGCTCTTCCTGTTCTCGGTGCTGGTGTTCGTGGCGGTGCGGCTGTGCAGGCGGAGCCGGGCGGCGTCTGCGGGTCGCTGCCCGGTGCCCGAGGGCCACTTTCCGGGCCACCTGGTGGACGTCAGCGGCACGGGGACGCTGTCCCAGAGCTACCAGTATGACGTGTGTCTGCGGGGAGGTTCTGGAACCAATGAGTTCAAGTTCCTAAAGCCGATTCTTCCCAACTTCGTTGGTCTGGGTGAGGAGAAGTTTCATGAAGCAGACCCCAGTTTCAGGAATAGCTTTGAATTTAATTAAGTATTAATTAATAAGGGTCTACTGAGCCCAGTCTCTGTTAATTTGTGGAAAGTCTTTTTTTTACTGCCTTACCCATTGGGGTTCTTTTTATTTGGTATGTGGCTATCCTATTTCGATTCAGTGCATGTTATTGGTGTTTCTAAATACCTTCGTTTGTGGTGTAAGGAATGCAAACTTTTTTTCTTTTTGTTGATCAGTCTCACTGTAACTTAATTCAAGTTAAAGTGAGAAAGTAAATTTTGTATTTTCTGAGGCCTTTAATTTTTAAGGTAGAGCACCTTTTTCCAAATTCACCTTCCACAGTTCCTAGGTTACTTTACAGAACTTAAAATTTAAAACATTTTTAAAATGTTTGCAATCATTACATACGCTCATTCCTTTTCCAGAATATTTGCACGTATATTCTCTTAGAATAGTATAACTTTTATTCTGTTAACTTACATTGGCCAAAACTTTTAACATATGTATATTCATGAATAACAAAGCAATCTCTCACATTTTCCTAAATATGTATTTCCTAAAAGTATCCACAAATTCCTTATGATTCCTTGGAGATTGTGACAACTTTGACTGTTGGATTCTACAAACCATTTACATTAAAATGCTCAATAAATCAACCACTAATATTCTCAAATGTAATTAAATAAGTAGCATATGTCCAATTGTTTTCAAAGCCATGTAATTCTTAATGCTATTTTTTCTTTAATCTTCTCATTTCAAGTCCCCCTTTAAAATATTAGTTTTAGCAATTACAAATCATCTGTTAACTTTGAGCAAGTCCTTCAAATCCAAAAGATAGGAGGAAATAAATGTCTTTGTCCTTGACCAAATTTTAGAAACTTCAAATGTAGTTTGTCATTGCATTTTTCAAAATTTTTGGAGCATTTATGATTCCATTGGAAATAAGCCTGTAGGGAAATGATTTATCTTGGTCTGGCCGTGTGTGTGTGTGTGTGTGTGTGTGTGTGTGTTTTGCATTACTTCTCTTTTTCCCCAGTTTACTAGGTTTTCAAAGCTCTTTTTTTTTAACTTTATTTATTTTGAGAGAGAGAGAGAATGTGTGAGTGGGGAGAGGGGCAGAAAGAGAAGAGAGAGAGAATTCCAAACAGGCTCTCTGGTCTGTCACATAAAAGCCAGTTGTGGGGCTTGAACCCACTAACAGTGAGATCACTACCTGAGCTGAAATTAAGAGTTGGAGGCTTAACCAATTGAGCCACCCAGGTGCTCCAAAGCTTTTTTCTTTTTATGCGCTCGGATATGTGTCTCAATAGCTGCCCATTTATTGTATGATTAGTGTAATAACTGGAGGATTATAAGTTCTTAATAAAAATTTTTGAATAAATGATTGAAAGAAGTGTTTTTACTTCACCTGTGATATTTTGATATTTAAAGACACTTAGAATACTCATAGGACAAAATTTTGCTGGCATTAAATGCTCTCTGATGTTTAAGAATTACATATATAATATTTGGTTATTAAGTGAACCGATGATCACTGTTATTCAAACAATATGCAGTTTCAGTGCCTCCTTTAACATATTTTTCCTTTTTCTCTTTCTACTTAGTTGGAGTTTCCTCTCCTGCCTTCTAGCTTAAGGAATGCATATGGAGAAACTGTTTTTTAATTTATAATTTAAATTTCCCTAAATGATTCATCCAACTTTATTTATTGTAGTTCAATTTCTGATCTGTACATTAAAACACATTTTAATTCTTTTTTTTTTAAATTTAGTTCTAGGAGAGAGAGAGAGAGACAGCGTGAGCAGGGGAGTGTCAGAGAGAGAGGGAGACACAGACTCCGAAATAGGCTCCAGGCTCTGAGCTGGCAGTCGGCATAGAGCCTGACGCGGGTCTAGAACCCACAAACCGCGAGATCATGACCTAAGCGAAAGTCGGACGCTCAACCGACTAAGCCACCCAGGCGCCCCAAACACATTTTAATTCTTAATGTTTTTCAGATTGCCTGAATTCTTATGTGATTTTTTTTATTTCAATGAGCTATACTATTAAAATATATGAATTTTATTTTATTTATTTTTTTTAATGTTTTATTTATTTCTAGGAGAGAGAGAGAGACAGCGTGAGCAGGGGAGGGTCAGAGAGAGAGGGAGTCACAGACTGAAACAGGCTCCAGGCTCCGAGCTGGCAGTCAGCACAGAGCCCGACGCGGGGCCCGAACCCACGAACCGCGAGATCATGACCTAAGCGAAAGTCCGACACTTAACCGACTGAGCCACCCAGGCGCCCCTTAAAATATATGAATTTTAAAGGTGTCCTTTTGAGAATAGCAGTTTAATGCGCTATCTTACTATCAAAAGTCTCAAATCAACCAACTTGTTACCTATAGGATCTTGGACAAGTCACATAATTTTTGTTCTCTCAAAATGATAACAGCTATTTCTATAGCTTGAAATCACGACTAAGGTAATACAAAGATATAGAAGTGCAATTGCTGTTATTTTTAGTATGACTAATAGTAAGAGCAAACCTAATAGATGATCCTTCATGTAGCATTCCTAATAATTGTGAAAATGCTAGATTGAACACATGATATTTGTGTTGTTTCATTTCTCTGCTTAAAACCTTGCAATGTCTCCTTTTTATTCTTAGCATAAAATCCAAGCACCTGTTATTTGCCCTCAGTTTATTTCTCCATCCTTCTTTTCCCACTTAGCCACTTAGTATTGAGACACTAAGTTTTAAGTGTACGACATGTCCTTTTATTATCTAGAATAGCTATACTTTACTACTGCAGGGCCTTTACATATCAGTTTCTCATATATGGATTCTTTACATTTTACAGTTTTAGCCTGGCAAACATCTTTTTTTTTTTTAAGTTTGTTTATTTTGGGGCGCCTGGGTGGCTTAGTCGGTTAAGCGTCCGACTTTCACTTGGGTCATGATCTCGCGGTTCGTGGGTTCGAGCCCTGTGTCGGGCTCTGTGCTGACTGCCAGCTCAGAGCCTGGAGTCTATTTCAGAGTCTGTGTCTCCCTCTCTCTCTGACCCTCCCCTGCTCACGCTGTCTCTCTCTCTCCTAGAAATAGATAAAAATATTTTTTAAAAAGTTTATTTATTTTGAGAAAGAGGGAAAGAAAGCATAAGTGGGGGAGGAGCAGAGAGAAAGGGAGAGAGAGAATCCCAAGCAGGCCCCCCACTGTAGATACAGAACCCAATTCAGTCCCACCAACGATGAGATTGTAACCTGAGCAGAAATCAAGAGTCAGACACATAACCCACTGAGCCACCCAGGCGCCCCAAGCCTGGAAAACATCCTTCATGTTCAAATGGCACAACTTTGACAAAACTTTTTCACCCCCAGACTCATTAGGTCAGGTCCCCCTATTGCATACTTTCCATACACTCAGTACCTTTCCTATACAGCACTTATAACACTTTGAATATATATTTAAAGTCAGTTCACCCCATTAGATTGAAAACCATGTAAGGTATATAGGCATGGTCTGTCCTGTTACCACAATATGCCTAACTTCTACAAACTCAACAAATAGCTGTTTCCACGGATTAAATACAGTTATACAGTTAATATAGATGAAACCAGTAATTATAAAATTACTGAGAAACAAGAAGAGAAATTTCTGTGTTCCTTGAGTGATTGTATTTGAAAGGAATTAGGCATTTGTTGTCCCTGGATAACATTCCCTGACATGATCTATTATAATTTTTTATCACCTTGCATGAGATCATCTTTTCATAGCATTTTTTTTCTGAGTATAAATTCAACTCATGCATGTTTTACAAAATCTGGAAAATAAGAGGAAATGAAGCATGTCATAATTTAGAGCACAGTCATTTAAAGTTTATGTGTTATAATTACAGATGGGCAAGAGGAGTAGCCCTAGCAGCGAAATCATATAAATAAGCAAAATCATGTAAATAAGGACTCTACCAGAGGCAATGGGATTTTTTTTTTTTTTAGATAAGAGCATATTTCATTTCTCTAGATTGTGTTTGTTTCACTCATATAACACAACCTCCTCCAGTAGGGTCATATGGGTTTGATAAGGGGAATAAGCGAATAAAAAATATCGATACCAACACTTGCTCCTCGCTTGCACCAACAAAACACCTTCTCCGGAGATTTTCAAGCGGCCAGCGAACACATGGTGGCACTGTTGTCTAAGAAGGCGATTTAAACCACAGGAACTGTGCGCACTGTGTAAGGCACAGATCCAGTGCCGTAAACTAGGAATTGTGAGCCTGGGCAGATTTTTAAGCAAGTAAATCTGAGCCCTGGAAAGAATTATTCTCTAGGCCTTCTTCAAAGGTTGGAAGGTAAAAGACTGCGTTTCCTGGCACTGCTAGAAGCTTAGCTTGGCAATATTTCCGGGAAGAACATGGCCGAAAGCACAATGGAGGCCAGGGGAGAGCGCTTTCTTAAGCAAAGGCAAGTCCTATTTCTCTTTGTTTTTCTGGGTGGGTCTCTGGCTGGGTCTGAGTCTAGACGCTACTCTGTAGTTGAGGAAACAGAGAGGGGCTTTTTAATAGCCAATATAGCAAATGATCTAGGGCTAGGGGAAGGGGAACTGGCTATGAGGGGAGCCCAAGTTGTGTCTAAAGGAAACAAACAGCATTTTCAGCTTAATCAACAGACTGGCGATTTGCTTCTGCATGAGAAATTGGACCGGGAAGAGCTATGCGGCCCCACAGAGCCATGTATACTGCATTTTCAGATATTACTGCAGAACCCTTTGCAGTTTATTACAAATGAGCTTGAGGTCATAGATGTAAATGACCATTCTCCGGTATTCTTTGAAAATGAAATGCAGCTGAAACTCTTGGAAAACACGCCACCAGGAACCATGATTCCTTTGGGAAATGCTGAGGACTTGGATGTGGGAAGAAACAGCCTCCAAAACTACACGATCACTCCTAATTCCCATTTCCATGTTCTCACACGCAGTCGTAGGGATGGAAGAAGGTACCCACAACTAGTGCTAGACAAAGCTCTGGACCGTGAGGAGCAGCCAGAGCTCATTTTGACTCTTACCGCGCTGGATGGCGGCTCCCCACACCGGTCTGGGATCGCCCAGATCCACATCCTGGTCTTAGACATAAACGACAACGCCCCAGAATTTACACAGCCACTCTATGAGGTTCAAATTCTAGAGAACAGCCCCGTTAACTCTGTTGTTGTCACTGTCTCAGCTTCTGATTTAGATACAGGTAATTTTGGAACAGTATCATATGAATTTTTTCATGCTTCTGAAGAAATTCGCAAAACTTTTCAGCTAAACCCAATTACTGGTGATATCCAGACAGTCAAATATTTAAATTTTGAGGAGATGAATACTTATGAAGTGGACATAGAAGCCAAAGATGGCGGAGGCCTTTCAGGAAAAACAACAGTGATAGTTCAGGTGGTTGATGTGAACGACAACCCACCAGAACTGACCTTGTCCTCAATTACCAGCTCTATCCCTGAGAACTCTCCAGAGACTGTGGTGGCTGTTTTCAGTGTTTCTGATCTAGACTCTGGAGACAATGGGAGAATTAAGTGTTCTATCGAGGACAATCTCCCCTTCATCCTTAAACCGTCTGTTGAAAATTTTTACACTCTAATGACAAACACACCTCTAGACCGAGAGAGCAAATCCGAGTACAACATCACCATCACCGTCACGGACTTGGGGACCCCCAGGCTGAAAACGCAGCACAACATCACCGTGACGGTGTCCGACGTCAACGACAACGCCCCCGCCTTCAGCCAAACCACCTACACCCTGCGGGTCCGCGAGAACAACAGCCCCGCCCTGCACCTAGGCAGCGTCAGCGCCACAGACGCAGACTCGGGCGCCAACGCCCACGTCACCTACTCGCTGCTGCCGCCCCAGGACCCGCAGCTGCCCCTGGCCTCCCTGGTGTCCATCAACGCGGACAACGGGCAGCTGTTCGCGCTCAGGTCCCTGGATTACGAGGCGCTGCAGGCGTTCGAGTTCGGCGTGCGCGCGGCCGACCGCGGCTCGCCCGCGCTCAGCAGCCAGGCGCGCGTGCGCGTGCTGGTGCTGGACGACAACGACAACTCGCCCTTCGTGCTGTACCCGCCGCAGAACGGCTCTGCGCCCTGCACCGAGCTGGTGCCCAGGGCGGCCGAGGCGGGCTACCTGGTGACCAAGGTGGTGGCGGTGGACGGCGACTCGGGCCAGAACGCCTGGCTGTCGTACCAGCTGCTCAGGGCCACGGAGCCCGGGCTGTTCGGCGTGTGGGCGCACAACGGCGAGGTGCGCACGGCCAGGCTGCTGAGCGAGCGCGACGCCGTCAAGCACAGGCTGGTGGTGCTGGTCAAGGACAATGGCGAGCCGCCGCGCTCGGCCAGCGTCACGCTGCACGTGCTGCTGGTGGACGGCTTCTCGCAGCCCTACCTGCCGCTCCCGGAGGTGGCGGCGGCCGAGGCGCAGGCCGACCCGCTCACCGTCTACTTGGTCATCGCCTTGGCGTCCGTGTCGTCGCTCTTCCTGTTCTCGGTGCTGGTGTTCGTGGCGGTGCGGCTGTGCAGGCGGAGCCGGGCGGCGTCTGCGGGTCGCTGCCCGGTGCCCGAGGGCCACTTTCCGGGCCACCTGGTGGACGTCAGCGGCACGGGGACGCTGTCCCAGAGCTACCAGTATGAAGTGTGTCTGCGGGGCGGCTCGGGGACCAGTGAGTTCAAGTTCCTCAAGCCTATTATTCCCAATGGTCTGGTTCAAGACCCTGAGTGAGATTAAAGCGAAGCTCCAACTTTAATGATAGTTTAGGTCAAAAAGTAGTTGTTTGACTATGGTTGTTTTCTTTTATAATCAAGAATCTTTAGTTGATGTATTTTCTTTATATACTGATTATACTTTATGGTTTTTGCAAATCCTTGGGTATTCTCCTCTTTAATCTGCTTCCTGTCTTGCTAATGCAGTTTTACTGCCTCTTTTCTTTTTCTAATAGGCGAGCAAAAATAGATTCATTATCTTTTAATGGTGATTTCAAACAAGTTTACTTTAAGGAACTATCTCAAATTCTCTATCCAAAGCTATGTAGATAGAGTTCCAAACCAGTAATTTATAATTTATCCTTTGAATACAGTCAGATATTGTTCTTTATACTATACTTAAAGTAGCTTTGTAGTTAATGAAGTTTGTGGATAAAAATGTATTTTCTCTAAGATGTATCTTCTTTAAGGTACAGCATGTTTTTAGGCACAATACGTTTAGTTCATTTCCTGTTTTGCAATTAATATTTCAATATTTTTACATTTAAATTGTCAGAAACGCACACAAAATATATACTATAAGGCAAATTACTCTTGGGTTTATCTAGAGTAATCTCATGATGATTAAAGAAAAAAAATAAACCGAGTAGAGCATTTCAAAAAACAGATTGTGCTTTCCTATTTTGCATGAAAACATTAGAGACAGTTACACCTTACTCTTGTTTCAAAGTTGATTTTTATTTCTGGGCTGTTGGAAAGTTTTTCCCTTTTATTTGAAGACAACTTTCAAAAACTTCTTTATCTGGATATTAAGTACAGGGCAGAGAAGGGACCATATGTATTGTACTATCTATTGTGGCCACTTTTTGGAATTCCCATACTCAAAGTCTGGTACAAGGTAAAAGGTAACATTCTATATTAATGATAATTTTTAGTAGTCCTCTGTGAGGACTAATAAGTTCATTATAGTGAATTATTTCCAAATTGATCGTTAATATTCTAATTTTCAAAAAGTAAGAGAAATTAAAATGGCTCTGCTGCCCAAATACACTAAATAACCTTACTAGACTCTAAGGAACTCTACAGTAGAGTCTGTTTCTGTTTTATCAGACTTGTATCTCCAGCACATGGCACAATGGCTCATGCACAGTAGATGCTTGAATAACATTTGCTGAAAGAGTAATTTTTTAAAAAATATTTTAGAAATAATGAATTTTTCAAGGGTTCCTTTACCTGGAATTCATATGTACACTGAAATTCAAAAGAACTAGCTACATTCACAAAGGGCTGAGCCTTAATAATTACAATCCCCATAGAGCCAATATATTATTTAGTTGTCTTCCTTCACTTGTGGAGATTTGTAAAACAGAGAAACTCAGAGAATTGTAAAACAATGTACTGGTCTCCAGTTGGGTTCCAGTTACACTTGCTCACATCTCTGATTTCAGGGATAAAGAAGAAGAAAAGAAATACAAGTAATTTATAAAAGTACTGTCAACTTCCCAGACCTTCTTTCCGCCAAATTAATGTCCTAAAATCTGTATTTAAATTCCCTAGCCTCTAATAGATTATTCTCTTGAACTTTGGTCTTCATGGTTTCCAAATTAAGTGAAATTTGCAAGATCTGAAAGTCTTTGAATAAACTTTAAAATAGCCAATAAGTAATTAACTTTCAAAATGTAATTCTAGATAGTGTACATTCTCTTTTTCCTCTCTGAAAACACAAATTCATAAGTACGTAAATATTTCCTTGACATTTACAGTCTGGTTTTTAACTTAAAAGCAAAGAAATGATAATGAATTTCAAACTTTTATGTAGGTTTGTTAAAAAGCTAAACTATATTGAAGTATCACCCGTTAAAACTAGTGAAGTTATCATACTTTTTATAACTCTTTCTTAATGCTTAAATATGGCTTTCTTGCAAATGAGGACTTTTTTTTAAGAATGTAAGTTTTTCTGTATACGTCACTACTTGTATTCTGTATTTATACTTGCTTCTTAGGGTAGATTGTGGTATATTGTAAAACTAGAAATCTATACTTTTATGTCTAATAGTCATATTCTTAGCCAATAGTTTGGTTGAACATAGATATTCAAATCTAAACTCATTTTCCTTCTGTTCTTTTGGTATTCAACACTGTTGATGAAAAGCATTAAATCAGTATAGTTGTCATTTTTTATCTGTAAACTTCTTTATTTTATTTTTGTAAAGTAATCTCTTGGGGTGCCTTGGTGACTCAATTAGTTAAGCGGCCGACTTCTGCTCAGGTCATGATCTCGTGGTTCTGATTTGTGAGTTTGAGCCCCACGTCGGGCTCTGTGCAGACAGCTCAGAGCCCGGAGCCTGTTTTAGATTCTGTGTCTCCTGCTCTCTCTGCCCTTTCCCTGCTCACGCTCTGTCTCTGTCTCTCAAAAATAAATAAACATTAAAAAAAAATTTTTAAATAAATAAATAATCTCTCTACCCACCATGGGGCTTGAGTTCACAGTCCCACGATCTACCAACTGAGCCAGCCAGGAGCACCTTCTTTGCTCTATTTTACATTTCCCCCCCTTTATCCTGATGTTCTGGTACTTGCTAGATCTCAACCTGAGATTCACCCAATATACTGAAAAATTTTTTTTTGCGTAAGTATAGTTTTTTTTTTTCTTTTCAAAATTCCCATTTGGTCAGCTTGTTCTTTATTCACAATTGTTATTTATTTATTTTTGCTTGTTTGAGGAAATTAAAAGTCTCTTACTCTTAAATTATTTCCATATTCTGAATTTCTATTTGTTATATATACAATCTTTTATCTGTCGAGTCCATTTTTCACACTGGTAGTCTTCCTCATGCTTGGTGATATTTTACTGACCACTCATCTCCTACTGGAGGTTTCACTCATACTGGTATGGTTTTGGTAGGCTTATGGAAGGGAGGAAAGAGGAGTCTTATGGTGGTTCCAATCCCAGATTCTACAAATCCAAGCCTTAATTAAGAAGCTTATCTCAACTTTGTCACACACAGAAGTTCTAGACCAACACCTATGGACATGTTTGATCTGGGTCTCACTCTCCCTTGGGTGATCCTACTCTGCATTTGCTCCATGAGGCAAAATCACAGAGTGTCACCCTATGCCTCTTGTTTATCTTGGTGTCTGTTAAAGTTATAGATTCGGGAGCTAATGGAGACATTTTTCACTTTTCAATCTTCAGAGTAAACAGACTGATTTTGAGGAAAATCGAGTTGTAGCTGAAGTAATTGATACACGGGGTTTACCTACAGGAAAAAAAATCATGGTCTTGATTAATATATATGACACTGCTGTACATGGTAGTCCTGGATGACACACATACTTGCTGGAAGACCAGAAAAACTTGCTGCAAAACTATCTTATATTATGTATTGAGCTGGTGCTACATAAAACAAGGTTACCTGGATGTGACTTGAGTTAGAACTCAGGACTATTTTATCAATGATTCAAAACTTCAGAGTACTTGATGTTTACATATGGCCCTACAACCTGGAAATATGAAGCACTGAAGCATATCTAGGCTCCTAAGTGATAGGCATAGCCAGGCACAAGCTGTTGCTATTATTAAGGACTAGAAGCCACCTCCATTTGACATGGTCTAGGACGTATCCCAGCCTGACCTGTCAGTCCCTGAACCTCAGACTGAGAAGTCTACTCAGCTGACAGGCTCTCTATCCTCTTAATCACTGATTGACCCAGTCAATTTTCTTTCAGTTTTCTGCTCCTGTTCCATGATGCTCAGTTGTAGAAGCTAACAGGGAACTTTCAGTGGACTACTTCTCATAGGCCATTTTTTGAGTATTTGGGGGATGATATCAGCATCATTGAGACTTAGTTGCAGAACTATAATGTGAGATGTTTCTGATCAGAATATCAGAGGCAAATCGGTTCAGATTTCTAAAGTCATTTGGCTCCGCCTACTATGGGCTGTCTATGAGGAAGAGCTTTGATGAGAAACTCAACTTCTAGAACAGTTGGGGTTTATCAAAAACTAAAATTGTAATCAATATTGTCATTTTGAGATTTTTTTTTGCCTAAATTTCCTTATCTCTAGGAAAGTGAATTTTTTCATCTTGAATTAAGTTCTTATCCTATTCAAGGAGATTTAGTCAGTAATCAAAAAACTTTCCAGGGACTCTTGGCTGTCTCTGTCGGTTAAGCATCCAACTCTTGATTTTGGCTCAGGTCATGAACTCATTGTTTGTGAGTTTGAGCCCGGTGTCAGGCCCTGAGCTAACAACATGGAGCCTGCTTGGGATTCTCTCTCTCCCCGTCTCTCTGCCCTTCCCCTGCACTCTCTCTGTCTCTCTCAAAATAAATAAATAAACTTAAAAATAATAATACTATTGGTGTGCCTGGGTGGCTCAGTCAGTTGAGCGTCAGACTTCGGCTCAGGTCATGATCTCATGGTTCATGGATTCCAGCCCTGCGTTGGGCTCTGTGCTGACAGCTAGCTCAGAGCCTGGAGCCTGTTTCAGATTCTGTGTCTCCCTCTCTCTCTAACCCTCCCCTGCCCACACTGTCTCTCTTCCTCTCTCTCAGAAATAAATTGAAAAATTAAGAAAAAACATTTTTTAAATAAATAAATAAATAAATAATAATTCTATTACAAAAAACTTTACACAAAGGAAGTCTCAGGACTAGAATTCTACTGGATGTTTAAAAAACTAACACCAGTCCTTCACAAACCTGATTTTAAAAGAGGAGCAGGGACCACTTCCCAGTTTATTCTGTGGAGCCCATATTATTCTGATGCTAAATATAGGCAAAGAAACACAAGAAAAGAAAACTCTATGCCAATATCCCTTACGAATATAGATGTAAAAATTCTCAACCAAATATTAGCAAACTGACTCCAGCAACATATAAGGGATTAAACACCACAACCAAGTGGGATTTATCCCAAAAATGAAAGGTTGGTTTAATATATGAAAATTAATCAATGCAATATATCATATTAACAAAAAGGGGAAAGCCATACAGTCATCTCAATTTACACAGAAAAATCACTTTACAAAGTCCAACACC